GCTGGGAGGGGGGCAGATATTCAGATATTCAAAGGTCAGCCTGAGCAACCTGGCCTGGCTTTGAAGTGACCCATGCCCATTGATGGAGTTCCACCTCTCCCTTTGCCCTGGCCCACTCCCTTCCCTCATTTCCTACCACATTTCCAGGTGGATTGACAAACTCAACCTCCGCGTAGGAGCCACCTGTGGGTCCCCTGCAGAAGCCCAGGGAGCGAAGGTGAAGCTTTCCACCACTTTCCAAACCTGCCCTGGCTGGGGCCGAGCCAATCCTGACAAAACCAAGGCTGCAAGCAAGCCCAGCAAGAAAAAGAGATGGGGAAAATCACCAGCCAGGAGCGTCAAGAAGAGCAGAGCTTAGGAGACGTGTGCAGGATGCAACAGAGCTGTACCTACACTCTGGTGAGAGCAATTTTTCTAGACCTGTCCCCACCACGGTGACAGGGATTTTGCACAAGGAGAGAGCCCGGTGCCACCCGAGCGATGCTGATTTGCCAAAGACACGGGGTTTGTTTTTTTACAGGACGCAGAGGCACATTACCCTGGAAAGAACCGGTGCAAAAAGCTTCTGTAGTGTTTGCAGGATGCTTTTGTGACTCCAGCAACAAAGCCAAATACTTGCTTTTCCTTCCCAAGGCTCCCTCCAGCCAAGTGGAAAAGCTGGAATCCACAAGTTTGTTTTTGGTTTTCACGAGCACTGTGCTTTCACAGCTCCAGAAATTATTAAAGAGCCCTGAGCAGGACTGCAAAGGCTCAGATGTCAGACCAGAAAAGTTTAAAAGTTATCACCAGTGAAAACATTGCCTGGATTCCCAGCAGCTTCTCAGAATTAAAACATAAGCAGATTGAAAAGTATTTCCTGCAAAATTTGGTCGGTGGTGTGATTTGTGGAAAGGGATCCCTGGTCCCCTAAGTGATCCCCTCATAAGCGATGTGCCCAACCTGTTCCCCATGGCAGCCCAGGCCTCCCAGCCCCCTTTTCAAGTCAGAAGTTGATCAAACTGGGAAGTGAAAAGAGGAAGTCTGTGTTAGTTACTCCCAGTCTCTACCCAGTGTTTTCTGCACAGTTGGCTTGCCAACATTTTTGTCCTGTCATGAACCCCTGTGCAAAGCAGGCACTGTTTTGGCATTGGAAACTTGAGGGGAGCATGGCCAAGGCGGTGCCCTGGGCAAACATCACTTCCCTGCAGGGTTTGACCAGGCGCTTGCCCTGCAGCGGCACCAACGCACAGAGCACGCCCTCACCTGCAGAAAGTTCACGGGAACACGCTGCAGATTTAAAACTGGTTTTCATCGCTATTGCCACAGTGACCTTTGCGATTTCTGTCCTGAATTGTGATGGCCAGGCTGGGGAAAGAGAGGATTGTCACAGCTTTGCTCTAAGATGGGAAATGGCATCCTCTGCCCTATGTTATCTGTTGTGTCCTTGCAGGACTGGCAAGTAGAGAGGGGCAAAGGCACAGAAACCCCCATCTGTATTCCTCAAAAAACACCCAAAATACTGTTTATTTATAATAACCCACTTACAGCCCTCTTTTCCTCCCCATCTTGGCTAACCCTGGTGCTTTGGTGACCCAGAAAACAATACGTAAGCCCGTGGCCTCTTCTTTGAGTTTAATTCACAGGGCTTTAGGGTACAGATCGTAGATCAAAGTTACGGTAGGACTACCAAAAAATTAAAAATCCAAACTGAGCACCATGAGCTCTGCAGCTCTGAGTTCAAAAGCAAGAAATGACAACACCCAAAAAGGTCTCTTGCTCCTTCAAGAGGCATCATCATCCTTTTTTTTGTTGGGTTTTTTTTTTTAACCATTTCCCACTCCTCCTACCCTGACTTTCTCGGGGGTCGCGGGGCCCAGACCAGGGAGCGCAGCAGCGATGCCCTACGAGGGCAGCCGGATTCCTGATGTACATGACCCGCGCACAGTGTCCCAGACTGCAGCTCGCCCCCTCCAGCCATGGCCCCAAAGCACCCCTTTGCGCTCTGGCAGTCTTCTTCCCCACTGGGAGCTCCTGCTTGGGAAGGTGCCTTCAAAGCCAGGCGCACAGAAGTCCCGCAGCCATCCTGGCCCTACTCCTCAGCGCACCTGCGACCTTTCTGGGGTCTCTTTCCCAGGGCTTAAAATTACAAGTTCGGGAGAAACTTCCTTGCCCACTGGGAAAGCAGAGTTGTGATGGTGCAGGGTGGTCTGCCTCAAAAAGGGAAGGCCCTTTTAGTCTTCTGCTTCCCTTTGCCAGGACGTTCCCCAGAGAGTGGCAAGGTGAAGCGCAGGCTGCTGTGGGCAGCTGGGGGATGCTCCAGGCTCAGTCCGTGTCCTCCTGCTTTATGCTGCTGACAGGAACGGGAAGCTCTACAGCTTCAAACTCTGGTAGTGAAGGGTCAATGGTTTCTTCTTTCACCTGCACAGCAATGACTGGCAAGAGATAGAGAGGGAAAAATAAATGAGTAAAATCAAGCTGTGCTGCCTCACTCTACCTGCAGCACCCAAAAACCAGCTCTGTTCATGCAGATACACAAAATGCCCCAGGTTTCCAGCCCACTTTTTGAGAGTCCCTTCCCACAGACAGCCCTGCCTTGCTGGCACAGATCTGCAGTCACAGCAGCGACCAGGATAGGACTAAGCGCTGGCAGCATTCAGCTGCCTGCTCCCAAGAACAACTTCTCCTAGGGCCAGGGGAGGAAAAGCCAGTGCAGTCCATGCTCTACCTGCCTGGATCCACACAGGGGATATTAAAGCTCTGTGAGCAACGAGGACCTTCATGAGGCTCCATCCCCATGTTCACAAAGCACCTCATGCACCCTCTTCCCCAACACCCACAAGGCTTGGCAGGGGACCCAGCTGCTCTTCTGGCCACCACATCTCTTGGGCTGTGTTCATGTGCTGCAACAGCCCTTATGGAGACTGGGAGATGTGAATGCATGCTCTTGGACATGTCCATCTTGCCTCTCCTGCCTAACTGACCTCACAACCATACTGCTCAGGAAGCATCAGCAGTATCAAGATGTCCAGCTGTGCTGGTGTCACCAAACCTTCCCATGGAAAGCAGGCAAAGGCTTTCTTCCACTCTGTCTCTAGAGGAGTGGGGAAGGACATTTGTCACAGTGCTGCCGTTCCCTGCCTGGGGACGCCCATGATTTAATGGCTGAGAGGCAGCAGAGGCCTCGAGAGGGCCAGTGGCATGAGGGGCACGTGTGAGAGCTGCATGTGTCTGCTGGGTAGAGTAACTCATGCCCTTACTCTCATCAGGTGCTGGCTCTGGCAAAGCCTTGCTGGCAGCCTTTGCTTCTCGTTTCACCTTCGGGGCCGGAGGCTTCTTCACGGTCTGCTTGATGTTGCGGGCTTTGGCAGGTAACTTTTTTCCTTAACAAAGAGATAACAGAGCATGGGGAAAAATGTGTTTCTTTTCCCCCCTGGAAAATCAGCAACCCTTCGCCACCGAGAAACCACAGGCCAGGGACCAGCACAATCGACCAGCAAGCTACATGGTCATTAGCTGCCAACTGGTTACTCGACAGAAATGGCCTACTGGAGAAAAGCTCTACAGTCATCATCCCAAAACATGCTCCTCCATGTTCTCCTTCATTAAAGGCACTTCAGCGTGTGCTTAGCTTCCAAGGAGCAGGTCCTGTTGGAATCAGTCTGGAGTCAGCTTTGCTTACCTGTCTGGGCCTACTCCTAGGCAATGGGCATGTTGGCTGCAAGGCGTGGACATGGTAGCATTAATGTTCTCATTTTTAGCAGACGTTTTTATTTAGCTTGAACGTCTTTATATTCTTTAGACGACCTTTCCACCCCCCTCCAGGAAGGAATTTCTTGCCTGTCTACACACGATTTGCCACAGCTACTGCAACGGTGACGACAATAACGACAAGATGAAACAGTAACATGGTCCAGCCCCACTACTGGTCTCTTCAGCCATCTTAAGGCTTTCTTTCCCTCAGCACAAAGCAGGCAGGGTTGCTCTCCAGCTGCCCTCCAGCTGCAGCAAAACATCTCCCTCCGACCACAGACACAGTGGGGGAAGCAGCACAACCTCAGGCCTGGAAGCAAAGCGCCACCTGTACCTTGGCCAACAGAAAACAGACTGCAAACAGATTCTTCCCACACACACAGCTCTCTGCTCTCTTAGGCAACGGGGGGCAGTGTAAAAGGATGAAGCTGTGTTGTCAAACCCACAGTTGGCTGAGGGCATCCACAGCAAGACAAGGCCTCTCTCTCCTGCTCTGGTGGACATGGACAGGGTTCCTCTAACTGGGCCCAGCCTGCGAGCGAGCGGGAGGGCACTAACCAAACATCACTCACTCTTCTTTCCATAGGGTTTCTTCTTCTTCTTGGGCACCTCGTTGGCCTTCACTGGAGTTGTGGGCTCTGTCATGGAGACGAGAGGGAAACGAAAGCCAAGTCCCATAACCAGTAGGTAACTGGGATGAAGTGACATAAGCGAGAAACAAGATATACCCGTCCCCCCGAGCCAACGCCCTCTTCCCATGACAACCAGCTAGGGGAAAGCAAGGCTCTAGAGCAGTTGCTGTCTGTGCTTCCAGGCGAGGGCCCAGGCTGGGGCAGCATGGGGGAGAGGCCCAGTAGAGAATTGGCAGAGGCAGTAAAGAAACAAGGTTCATAGCTTGGGATGGAAAGGAAAAAGCCTGCAAAGGTGAGGCAGTGGCCTCCCTGCGACAAGGGAAGGAATAAACTCTTGAGGGATGCTCTTGCCTTTTACAGACAGAGCCAGAGAACTGATAAGAAAAGGGAGCAGGGGCCAAGCTCCCGCTGCTACCTGGCTGAGGTTGTAGGTACGCTTAGTAAAAGGGAGCTGTGCAGGGATAGGACCACCTGGAACTCTACCCAACTTCATCAGGAGCAATCCTCTGCTGGTGCGCAGACAGGGAAACAGAGCCAACCTCAAATCTCAGGCTGTTTTCTCCCCACCAGATTCCTCCCTCTGCCAGCTGCTAGAGTGTGTGGCTGCAGAGGAAGACTTATGGCAGCCAGCGCAAATCACGGAGGCAATTTCCTCCTCCCTGCAAGGCCCAAAAAGGAGGAGCCACTCAGAGCAGGAGGAAGGAGAACTTTGCCTGTAGTGTTAGAAACCAGAGTCAAATCCTTACTCACCTGGAACAACAGGTGGTTGAAGTTGGTAGCCTGTCAGCTCACACCACCCAACAGGATAAATGTCTGGAGACTCGCAGTCCACCCACTGGTCATACTCATTGTCCCAGCCATCGAAATGGATGCTCAGGAGACGGTGGACTACACGCTTCACCGTGGCCACGCATATGAGCCGGGGCTCCATCAGGTCCACTGCTTCCACCTTCATGCCTGCCTTGAAGCCATGGTTTGGGCAGTCCTGGGTACAGGGAAAAAAAAATAAACAAGAAAACCCAAGACCATTGCACCCAGTCCAAACCCAGACCTGGCCACCAGCAGCTTAAAACACCTAGAGGCTTCCCTTCAGCTTAAAGCCAGCAGAAAGAGAACAGTCATACAACAGAAGGGGGTACCATGAACAGATTCAAGGCCTGCTGTGATCTCAGTGAACCTCAGCCCAGCTTTTAGAAACAAGATACTGACCTAGGGGGAGCAGCAGACAGCAGTGAAGGGACATCAGTTAAACCCATTCCCCTGAGATAGCCCTGAGAAATCAGAAAGATGGGCACAGGCCCAGGTGCTGCAGCGGTTTTGCTGATGCAAAGCAGATCCCCTTCACCCACGTGCCAGCCACACGCTCTTAGGCAACAAGCAGTGCAGAACACACCAAGAGCCTGGAGCTCCTGGAAACACCAGAGAATCTCAGGTCACACTCAGAGGGATAAAGATATCACTACAGCCTCAAAGGCACGACACTGCTTGTCCCAACCTTAGGCTCTCCTTGTGAAGAAATAGATTAAAAAGAGGTCTAGGGCATTTGTGTGTAGAGATTAATTTACAATATATTTTTTTTGTACTAGGTGTGGTAATGACCTCATGGTCCTCAAGAGTCTGAAAGACTCCAACGTTTACAAAAAGGCAGCAAAGGAGAGCAGTATCAATTACAGATATACCAAGTGTAAACAATGCTAAATTTACTCCATTTCTTTCCAAAAGAACAAGAAATCCTCTATCAGGGAGAGAGTCTGTCTCCTCACTGCAGGTAATTCAAAGGAGACCAGGGGAAACAGCATCTCAAACACTTTTTCGTTCCAGACTGAGCTGATGTTTTAAGCTTGGCAAAGAGACTTCACTACATGAGATTTTGAGCTCTAGCAGCAGATTCCAAGGAGGGCCCAGCATTCTTAGAAGACCATCCACTTCCCCACCATGCTGCACATCCTACTGACAGTGCACAGAGGTCAACCTCAACCAGTATCTATGGAACCCACTTTTCAGTTCTTTCATATTTGTCTCTTAAAAACCCTCAGCTCTCTCTTAAAGTGCTGACTGGCCCCAAAGAGCAACCCAGCAGACACTGGCTATCGTCTACCCTGACTCTAGGAAGGCTTCTGACACTGTCTCCCATAAGATCCTCATAGAGAACCTGGACACAGCGAGATGGACTGAAAACTGGCTGAGTGGCTGGACCCAGAGGATGGTGATCACGGCACGAAGTTCAGTAATTAGTGGTGAACCCCAGGGGTCAATACTGGATCCAATCCTGTTCAACGTCTTCATTAGTTATCTGGATGACATGACAGTGTCATGTCAAACTCAGCAAGTTTGCTGGTGATACAAAACTGGGAGGAAAGACTGATATGCTAGCATCTCTTCTATGAGGAGAGGCTGAAAGAGCTGGGACTGTTCAGCTTGCAGAAGAGAATGCTCAGGGTGGACCTTGTCAATATGTACCAATGCCAGAAGGGAAGGTGCAAAGATGGAGCCAGGCTCTTCTCAGTGCCACCCAGTGACAGGACCAGAGGCAGTGGGCACAAACTAAAACACAGGAGGTTACCTCTGACCATCAGGAAACACTTTTATACTGTGAGGCTGACTAAGCACCAGCACAGGTTGCCCAGGGAGGCTGGAGAGTCTCCATCCATGGAGATATTTAAAAGCCATGTGGACATGGTCCTGGGCAACCTGCTATAGGTGATCCTGCTTGAGTAGGGCTGTTGGACAACATGACCTCCAGAGGCCCCTTCCAAACTCAACCATTCTGTGACAGCCAGAGCTCTTGTGCTCCTTACTGACTGCAAGGACCCCTACACATGTCTTCTCACTGGCAGCACTCACTGTGTTGAAGAGTCGTGCTGGAACAGGTCTTGATTTAGTCTTTTCCAGGTAACTTTCCCAGTTGAAGGTCTTTGCATCTTGCCCTGCAGCAAGAAGAAATGGTCAGAGGGGAAAAAGGAAGTCACTGGGTAGACCAGCTGGGGGAGAAGAATGGCAGAACAGGCAGGAAGGAGGCACAGCAACTGATTGCAAAGCAGTTCCATGAAGCTCCACATACAGCATGATTTTGGACATAAGTCTAGTGCACAGATTCCATGGCAGTCCAGCACCCTGCTCTAGCAGGCAAATATGGAAAAGTGCAAGCTGCAGCTCTGAACATCCATGTCAGTCATATAGCCAGACCACAGAGAAAGGTGAGAAGAGGCAAGCAGGAAGAATTATGTTCAAAACACAACACCAAGATCAATCTTTCTCCCACCAGCAGTAACATCAAAGGAAGACAGAATAGCACTGCACAAAAGTGCTGCAACAAAGAAATTCAGAGTGGGCCCTTTTGGGTATGGCTGGGTGAGGCGGTAAAAACACTCCTAGGGTGATTGCCTCTCACAATTTTGTAGAATATCAGCCTCAGATTTATTAATACAAGAAAAATAGAGGTGACTCCTGCCACTTAATTACTGAATCATGCAGTAATGGCTCTACTTATCTTTTCTCACCTTCCCTGTCCCTTAAAGCTTAAGATTCTGTTCAATTTAGGGATGACATATCTCTCTCACTGATGGGCCATGAGTTAACCATCACGCCATTAATGCTCTCTGGAGATGTTACTTCCTCCCACAAGGTACCAAGTCTTGGTATATGGGCAGAGTTCAAATGGACTGCCCCCCTGAACCAGCCCTGTCTCCCTGAAAAACAGGCAGATTGGGCCCTTGTGGTTTTGATTCATCTGAACTTGAGACCTCTCAGAAAAGCCCAGCCCAGCAGATTCTGCATGCAGGTTTGTGCACACAGGGCAGAGTCCAAATCTCACCTTTTGGAGGGGTCAGATCGATGTTGTTCTTCTGACAGAAGTTGACGGGGAAGATGGCGTGCGAGGAAGCGTGATAGCAGAACCAGTCAGAGCCATCAGCAGATGTGGCTCCATCAATGCTGATCATCAGATACCCATCCAAGAGGACCTGAGATGGGAGTGAAGGGCATGAGTGTAGAGCTTCACTTGCTCTAAAGCCTCTCTTCGCAAAGAGATCCCCTCAAGAGCCCCCACAGATGGACCACAATTGCTACTAGATAGTAAAATGCAACGTTATATGCTCCAGGGCATGCAGTAGCTTCTCCTGGTACGTTAGTCAACACAAGCTCATCCCCAAAGCAGCAATTTCTGCAGGATAGGGACCAACACTAATAGACTTGGGAAAAGGACTCAGCCATAAGCAGTCAGGAGCTCTGTTCTCCCTCAGAAACAGACTTTATGCAGCACTACAGAGGCACTCCTTATGCACTCCAAGAACTGGAAAACAACTCTTCCCTACTGCATGCCCAAGGGTGAAGGAAGGGTGGCTGCTGGAGACTTAGCTTGCACTGGACAGTTAACTTGCAGACCAAGCATATCCACTTAGGCACAGTGGATAACTGCTGGTCTCATCAGCTTCTCAGACCTTTGAGGTAACGCCCCAATTCCCTCCACACACCAGCTGCCTACCTGTCTTGACAGTCCTCTCCTCTTTCCTCATGCAAAATCCTACCCAGTCTTACTCTCTTGCAAAGGAGAGGCTGGGTTCTCTCAGGTAAACCCAGCAGAGCCCATTCCACCCACTGAACTTACCTTGCAAACAGTGGCCACGCAAATGTTGCCCAGATTCAGGGGGTCAATGGCCTCCAGCTTCATGCCTTCCTCAAACCATCCACCTTCAGCATAGACAACTCTTACCTAAGGGAGATTCTGATATACCATGTGCTGTTCATGGTATGGGACAGTCCCATCCCAACACCGAGAACACCAAGTGCAAACACATTTGGAGCTTCTTTACTTGGCTCAACCCAAGTTTGGAGGGGAAAGAATATTACAGGAAATACAAAGAGGCAGCCAACCCAACGCTGCGTTTGTGTCAGCAACCTCCTGCCAAGGCTCTGGTCACTCAGAGAGCCAGGTCCAGCCCTCAGCTGTGGCTCCACAGCAAAGCAAGTCTCCTTCTCATCTCTAGCCTTATCAGTATGACCCAGCTCCTTGTCAGAACTGGTCTGACATGCAATTGTCTTCCCTCTCCAACTCAAAGCTCCAAGCAACAGCTTGCCCTTCAACTGAGTCCCTCACTCTGTCGCTGTCTTTTAGTTCTTCCATCTTTCCATTTTGACCTGCCACTGCCCAACCACAGCCCTGACACCCCAAACACCTTACTGCCTCCCTAGAGCTGTAAGGGAGACAGAGGAGCCATCCTGAGCAACCCACACAGCAGCATAAATACCCAAGGAAGTAAGTGATATCACTGTTTCCTTTGCTGTGGCCTACCCAGAAAGACAGATTTGTCCTACCTTCTTAAACAGGTAGGGGACAGCATCACAGTAAATCTTCCGGAAGGTGGGATGGTTTGCCATGTCATTGCGTTTTTCTTCTGTGAGGAATGGAAGAAACAGAGAGGTAAGAAACCTGCAGCAGCTGCAGTGAGAAAACACACTGGTTATTAATTTCCTGGCAAGAGCTCAGCTGCTATAGAAGACCTAGACCAGAAACCATGAGAAGAGTAATAGAAAGAACAGGCCACACAACCTGACAGCATGCAGTCTTACAGGTGCCAGCACGAATTTCCCCAAAAAGACTACAAACATCTGTGATGTTGCAAAGTCTGCATTCTCACACTGTGGGGACAGACTACCCACACTTCAGATAAGAAACTCTGCAGTCCCCCTGTCCTGACCTGTGGCAGCAGAGCACTGGGCTTTTATCTATCTGGGGGAAAACCAGCAGACACACAACTATATAGACCTTGTGTGTCAGGTCCTGAGACAACTGCCTGGCTCCCAGCATGTCAAAACTGATGTCAACAGCAACGTCCAGGCAGTCCACAGCAGAACAGAAGATCCCTACCTGCCGTCTTCATGCTGTGGCCCACTCTCCGTGACCAGCCCACAGGATGGATGAGAGGGCTCCACATGTGGCACCAGAAGTCATCGTCACTGTCACCATCCTCATAGAGGAGTCTCAGTCTGCCCCCAATCACCGTGTCCACCACTGCCAAGCGCGTCCGGGACACGTGGTTCTTATCCACCACCTCCACCCGCATGCCCTGCCGGAACGGGTACTTCATGCTCTCTGCCATCTGGAAAAAGTCAACAGAGGAGATGAGATAAATCTCACTTGGTGCTTTCCTTCTTCAGAAAACAGCTTTCCCCACAGCCATTTGGGAAGCTACACCTCTAACTGCTTCCAGACTTGAAATCCTGGTGGTTTCAGGTGTAGCTTCCTAAAGGGCAACAGGATTTTCAGTTTCTTTAAAAAAGTCAGGCCCTTACTTTTGCCTTTTTACTCTGATCAGATTGAGCAACATGATCATCAACTCCAATTCCAACGACAGACTTACCCTGCGGACTGACCCAAAGGCACAGCACATGAAAAGAGTCACTGGCTGCCTTCTAACTGATTTTTTTGAGACCTTCAGTTTGCTGATACAGCTTAGCCCTACTCATCCACAAATACCCAAAGGTGTTTATAGAACACCTGACACTTTGGCACTGTGATCCCAGAATGCTGTGCAGCAAGTAGGAACCACAGATGAAAAAAGACACAGACATCCAAACCAGCCGACACATAAATCCAGAGGAACTTTTAAGGTAAGGTCTACCCTTTCCACCTTTCATTAGGTGGGAGCAGAGATGCTAGAGGGAGAAAGATACTGACATCTGTCTCCCTTTACCACTTCCCTTCCATGGTGTGAGCTCTCAGCTACAAACTGTGGCCCTGGGACTGTCTTCCTTATCCGTGGTTTACAAAGCTGCCAGTGACAAGAGAGCCTCTCCTTCCCCACAAGGTCTAAACTCAGTGCAGGCTACAGGAAACCACAAGAGCTATAAAGCTGCCAAGGCCATGGCACAGCTGCTTCCATGCACTTTGAGGGAGCCTGTGCCCCTCTCACTCCACACAAGCTGCTGTGCTACCAACACTGAAGGCAAAGGTTTTTGACTCTCAGAGTCGTTCCCCAGTACTGAAAGAGGGCATGGAAAGGCCAGGTTGGACATGCATTGGCCTCTCGCTTCAGCAAAAGGGTAAACCTTATCCTCAGTATTTTCAGCATGACAATGGCTGTTAAAGGCCATCTATGATCCAAAGGAGAAATGGTTGTGCTGACAGGGCACAGAGGCTGTGCCATTAACCACAGTATCATGACAGGTATCTTAAGAGCATGGGAAAGCACCCACTGCCCTGCCCTGCCCTGCCTAGGTTTCAAGGAGGCACACAGGAGTTGCACAGATAAGAACCAGAAGAGATGTGCTGTGCACACATCTCTTGACTTCGACTTCAATTCCATACATAAAACGACAGCCTCCACATTTACCTTGATGTGGAAATCCACTGGAATGGTCCTGGCTCCCACCAGTTTTTTCATGAGGTAACTTCTCCAGTCAGTGTACTTGGCATGGATAGCTACATACACACAGGGAAAAAGCAAATCTTTATAACCGAAGGAACTACAGCACCACACTATATTTTTCTCACTCTCTTGAGAGTCCATTCGCATTAAACAGCCTTCTTCACATTTGGATCCCGTACCTGTTCTCAGGCAGACCCTGTTCTGCAATCCTGCCCCCACAACTGGCTGCAAGGGATCACCACTGCAGAATGGACTGGGCCAAGCAGATATCCAGCTCCACTGACTAGACGTGGAAGTGGTATTAGAGCAAAACACATGAGTCATACCAAGCAAATCTCAGCTTGACAGAATTCTGCTAAACTGGCCTCTCCAAACTGCTAGCTGAGCAGGGACTGGAGCCACTGTACTCTCTAGAGACCCTGTCCAAGATGCAGGACCAAAAAGTTCCCCCATAGATTAAGCCCAGCCACCGTGTGGGTCAGAAGGACAAACAGCCACCTGCATCAGCCTCTGTCCATAGGTTGGACACCAGCTCTACATCCAGTACCCCCAGGGTCAACCACAAGGAGACGAAAAGGAGCAGTCCATGCAGTCTCCAACTTCCCAAAGAATTGTTCCTTGTAACTCAGAGCACAAATGGAGTTGTGGTCCCACATACAGTGCAAGCACCTGTCCCACTGTGCTAGACATAAACCAAGGCTCCTCCATGCCCAGGCACGTGCCCTCTTGCTCCACACTCACTTTGCGGTGGTACCAGGATTTTGCTGTTGATGGCACACCAACCAATGGGGTGAATATCCACTGTGCCCAGATTGCACCAGAAGTCATGGCCAGCATCATTCTCAAAGCCCTCATATCGCAGAAGGGCCCTGTACCCTGCCAGGACAGAGCAGACAACCAGAGAAAGGCATTAGAGGCCAAGAATTTCTCCCTGCATTGGGCATCACAGGCTTATTCTCTACAGCATGGCCTTCTGAGCTCTGCATAGGTTATCAGAGCTTCTCCAGCAATTCTGGAGGCAGAATCATCTTCACAAAGACCCCAGAAGAGGAACCAGATGCTGGTTTCCTCCCACCCCCACACCATGGCATTTCCTGTCCCAAACTCAGCAGTTGCAGAGCTCCAGAGAGCTCATGTTTTGCTTGACCAGCTACACGCAGTTCTTTAAAGCTTCCCACAGAGGTCAGCCATTCCTGGCTGTCAGGAATTACATGGGAGACAGACGTACCTACAGTCTGGATGACAGACGCAATCCAGTACACACGGCTGGGGAGCACGGCATCGCTGTTGAGCACTTCCACTTTCATACCTTTCACCACATCATCCCACTGATCGAAGAGCGGCACCTGAAGAATGGAGGCAGCCATGTTGGGAGAGGGACGCCGACCATTACAGCAGGGCTCAGGCCCTCGTTCTCGCTTTCAGAGATGTGTTTTAGGCAGCTACACTTTCACCTTAGGCCCAGGTTTGCATGCCTTATCCTTCCGTATCTGTCAACAGCTTGAAATGCGCCCAAACTGTTCCAACATCTCTCTGGAGTGTTCACAGAGAATCCCAAAAGGCAGAACATTGTATAGCAACAAAAACTATTTCACTGCCAGCTGTCCTGTTATCCTAAAGCAGCTGCTGCCTTTCCTCTATGGCATCAAAATCCCTAGCTATCTAACTATGTCTTCCTGACCTATCCTCAAGAACAAGAAAATTTTGTATTATCACAGATCACAACTCAAAAGAAACATAACAAGTGCATCTTAACACACAGAGAGGACGGGGCTGCTATAATACCTAGGAACTGCTATTCTTCCATAGATCTGCCTTGGTTACTTGGCCCACAAGGACTGCAAATCAGTCAACAGGAACCAGACATGCTAGAGGGGCAGTGACTGCCAGGCCCACCTAAGTCGAGTTCCTCCCTGCACATGACCCTGGCCTGTGCTCACCCAAACAGACCGCAAAGGCAACCAGGAGCCTTCCAGTATCCCCCTCCAGTCATGACTAATTTGGTCCCCAGACAGCATTGGGCCATCACCACTGGCAAAGCTTCTACCAAGTCCCCCACTGAATCCTCCCCCAAAACTCCTGGTCCCTCTGTGGGACTCCCACTCTTAGCTGTGAGAAGTCCCAATTTCTTTCCTTGCATCAGCTAGAGCTTAATAACCAGCTCTCCAGCTCTCTCCCCACCACTTGTCACAAGAGCATAAGGGAGCTCCATGCATACAGCACGTCCCACATGTACTGCGAGGCACAGCAAAGAAGAACTCACGTGTTTGAAGCAGCTGACAGGAGCTGCCTTGAAGCCATGCTCCTGCAGGTACTTTCCCCAGTCAAAGCCCAGGACGAGTGCTATAAGCAGATGAGAGAGCAGAAAATCAGATGAGATTATAGAAAAAGCACAGAGCACTCAGTTACCTCTGGAACACAGCTTGCAGCCACATTGCAGCCTGCCCCAGGACAGAGCCCTCTGCTCCACCACACAGGAAATCTTCATTCTGGTGCATTTTCTCTGGTAGGGAACTAGATCCTATGAGTGCAGGGGGACCAGCCTCCGCAAGAGGCACAATATATTATTAATTAACCATTCCTGTCACTTGCTTTTTGGAAAGGGGAGGCAGATGGGGCAAGAAAAGAGGTCAAATCCAGCCCAGGGCTCAAGCACTCTGGGGAGAGTAGAGACTGCATCCTGTCAGTGCTGAACCACTTTGCAGCTTTGCCTCTCAGGAGCAACACTGCAGGGTCCTATCAGCAGCGCTTGCTTCCCCAGAGTGTGCTGGGAAAAGCAGAGGGAAACACCAAGATATTAATCCCATAGTCGCTCCTGATCCAAGACTCTGCTCCAGCTGCAATCTGCTTAGGGATCGATCCCTGCCACCACCCCCTGGGGCTCACTTTTGCCCTAAACCAGCAGCTTGCTACTATTTCAGCTGCAGTGACTGCCTGCTCCTCGCGTTGATCTGTGAATAACTTGGATTAAATATAACTCCCTCTGGGCAGCAGGGCACCTTTAAAGTCAGCTTTGCCCGTACCTCGTGAGACTGTGACTAGAGAGGTTATGCTTGTCATGGTTTATACAGTTGCTCTATAACCTGATGCCTCCTCCCCACCTGGGGAGAGGCATCAGGAAAAAGATTTTTGGGTTGGAATATATTTAATAAAATAATAATAAACAAATATTAGTAACAGTTATTATATATAATACACAGAGTTATACTCAGTCAATATTATGGGGCAGCAGGCCTCAGGGTTAGGACAGTAAACAAGTCTCTGTCGAGATGTCAGCCATGGAAGAAGGAGCAGGAGGGAGAGGCAGAGAAGGGCCGTCCTCAGCAAACTCCCCAGTTTATAGTGAAAGTGATGTTTATGGTATGAATAGTATTAATTGGTCAGCCTGGGGTCACCTTGGGGCTGACTCCCCCAGGTTTCTGCTCCCCCCAGCCTCTGCACATGTTTATCTCAAGACCCTGAAGACCTTGAGCACTATGGCAACCTGCACACCAGTATTAGCTGAAACCTATAACAAAGTTTTATCCCTTTATTCCCACAAAATAGAATGTTGCAGTCCTTACAAAATTGCAGTTTTCCTCAACAGAAAACTGACTAAAATTTGGTCCCATTGAACCAGGACAACACCTCAGTCCAAGCTGCACCAAGAGCAAGGATGAGGCTGCAATAGTGGATGGGCAGGAACCCACCACGGCTCTGTTAGCACTGGCAGAGAGAGAGAAAGGGAGATTTGCCCTGCGTCCTGCCAGCCTGTGTCAGAGTGATCCACACACATCTTTTCAGTGCAAGGCAGTGTATCAGAGGTGAGGAAGAGGACTGCAGAGCTTATGGCCCTCCAGATGTCCCCACTTCTATGTCTCCAGCAGCTGCACCTTCTCACACCTCACCAACACTCACCATCCTGACCTGTCAGCGTCCCATCTGCCAGCTGTCCCGTGCCCTGCGAATGGAGGAAGGCCCCAATCTTGGCTGACCAGGCTGCCTTATGCAGAACTTTTGCTTTCTTCGTTGGTGGCTTCCCCTGCAAGAGAAGTGACATTAGGAACATCAGTGGCACAGAAGAGGAAAGGAAGCCAGGCCCTGCAACTGGCCAGCAAGCCATCCAGCTCTTCCTTGGAGTGATTTTCAGGTTTCAGCATTTTCTCTCATGGTTACAGGAATAAGAAGAAACAGGAGGTAAAATATGACCATGTCCTTCCCCAGTTTCTAGGAAGCACCACCCTTCAGCTAGCATGCTTTCTTTGGGGACTTCAGGCAGGAAGAACAAGCCACTGGTAATGGCAGCCTGATCTTTAGAGAGCAACCACCCACCCCTGTGTACAGGCACATCCTGCTCCATCCCCAGGGAAGAAGGAAGAGTTTTGGCTCACCTGCAGTCTGGCCAGGATGCTGGCCTTCTTGGAGTTTGAGGAGTAGCTTCTGGAGCAGGAGACGCTGCAGAAACGTTTGGTCTTAGAGAAGAAAGCCTCTCTGGTGCCCACAATCCCACACATCTCGCAGACAGCTGAGAGAAGGAAGGCATAAAATTGTAAGCAGTTGGCAGGGTCGATGCACTGCTCCCCAGAAAATGCAGTCTCAACCCAGTGCTGCCCCCAGAGTGTACTCAAGGTGCTGTCATACACCATTTGGCTCCCCTAGCCCTTGTTCTCTCCATCACACACAGGCTTTAGGCAGAATACGCAGGCAATGCAGTACCTGGCTCGGAGCCGCTGTCCTCTACGAGCTGGCCTGAGGATGGATGGTGCACAGGAGAGGTCGAAAGCTCTCCAGCTTCCCGGTCTGCCACATCATCGTCACTAGACTCATCCAGACAGGAGCTGCTGTCGCTGCCCATGCTGCTGTTATAGCCTCGGAAACTGTCATAACCCCCAAAGATGTCCGATTCATCCTCTTCCTCATCATCTTCGCCTTCCTCCTCTGGCCGCTCCACAGACGAAGTTTTGTGGCAGGCAGTAGACACCATCTGAAAAAAAGAGCCAGTCTGCTTTAAAATAGACATTTTACATCACACCCCACAATAAACCTTGTTGCTGGGAGGTGAAGGGCTCTTGGACTGGGGAGAGACCTCAAGGTGTGTAATGAGTCCATGTAACAACTCCAAAGCTATTACCCCTGCAACAGGTCCCTTTACAGGTATTTCGCAGGCTGCACTCTGCTTCCCAAGAGGAAGCAAACAGACAGAGAGATGCAGATAGAAAAAAGTTCAAGAAACATGGAAAGAACACAGAGAACTGCACTGCCATGCTGACTAAGGCAGAGGAGACTGTGTCCATCCAGGCACTTGTCTCTCCCAACACAGTGTTACAGCACAGCAGCGCAGGCACCATCAACATTACAGTCACCGCAAACTCCCAGTGCAGAGCACAGAGCTGCAAACTCTGGCCACCATAGCCAACAAGACAAGTACAGCCTGGATGCCAGCGGGACAAACTTGACTCTGGAGAAAGTTCATGTTCTTTGGAAACTCCATAGTCCGTAGCTGACCTCAGTTCAGAAGCTGCATCAGCAAAATGACAAAATAACATATCTTATGAGTTTTTGCCTACAACCAGATATCTCCACAACCTTTTCACTATCTCTTTGTACTTAGGGCTACAGCAAGAGAGCAGAGCTGCAGGGATTGAAGAAAGAGCACAGAAATCCAGTGAGTGTTTCTCAGACTAGAAGAATCTTGAACCGGGCTCCAAGAGAACACAAAAGAAACTGGGAGAAGGTGTTAGCAGCTCAGGAAAGAGCAGCAAGAAGTCAGCATGAGCACAGGGAGCAATGGAACAGAAAGGTAGTTTTGCAGAGCCACATGAGGCACCAGGATACAACTGTTCACTAAGTGGGCAACAACAAAAGATCGGCAGCAAGTCCCTCACCTTCTGGTGCTAATTTCCCTCTGATCTCTGGCTCCTGGGTATTGTTATAAACACATGAACAGGAAGTCCAGACTTCACTCACCACTGTCTCCCCACATCCTCCCTGGCTTTCACACAGAACAGACCCAAGGTACTAAAGTTGTTCCCTGAAAACAGAGTTGCTCTCCTGCAGATCCACATCCTCAGACAGCATTCCTGACGTCTGAAAGGCCTGAACTCCTCAAAACAAGCACATTCGTCTCTTTCTCACCCCTATCTTGGGAGTGCATCTTCATTCCGCTCGAAGGAAGGATCTTTGGATCGTTCCTCTTCCACCAAACGCGAACGAAATTTGCAGACACGTTACAAGCACCCAGGGCTGACAAGCAAGGCCAGCAACACCCGCAACCTCCTCGGAGAGGCGAGGGGGGCGCATAGGGTCAGGCCCAACATCCCCTCCAGCACCAGCACGGTCCCCGGCAGCGCGGAGGCGGGGCGGACGGCCACCACAGCACCAGGACGGCCAGGCGGGGGCGGCCCCCTC